GGTCTCTTTTTCCACCTCGAATTAATTGTAAATATTTAGACAACCACCACCAATTTTATTTTTAAACACGCTAACATTCTTTAGATATTTACATGTCGATTTTCCATACACACATACACATTTATATATATATATATATGTATATATAAACACATATTCATTAGCAATACCTTTAAGCTATACATACATATGTACAAATGCGTGCATCAGCTACTGATTGTGTCACAACTTTTGATTTCACCTATTCATGTTTTTTTGTTGTTGTTGTTTTTTCGCTTTTTTCGCGCTCGTATTATATCGTAGAATGCACTTCGCCACAATGCCAAGAGGAGCTCACCCCACTCGGCGTGTCGGCCGTTGCACTATTGCCATTACACACCAGTTCACCCGAACGTCGCATCACACAGAAAGAAATCATCGCCGGCGAAGAGCGTCCCAAATACGTTCTACAATCGCAGTATAAACCATCGCCAGGTATGAAATGAAATATGACCTCTCTCCTACTTACCTAACTGTTGTTATATGCCATATATGTATGTATATTGTATATGTATTCGTAGCATACTCGTACATTGCTATTTATTTGGTATACCTATATGTATGTAAATATGTCATATATATTTAGACACCTATGCATAATATGCTTTGCTTCGCTTCGTACTTGTATTTGTTGCTATTAGGTGCTTTCATTTCAATTATCATACGTACTTTTTGCTTTATTATTACTGTTATTTGCGCGCTGAGTCACTAACACAGTCGCATGCATTGTCGTTTGCAGTGAGTGCGAAATATTTGAGTATAATCGGTAAAAAATTTACCTTAAATGCTTTCGATCACATTGAGGTTAAGTTCAATAGAGTTGGAGGAACTGAGTATTGAAGTACTTATGGGTTCGCACTGAGCAAGTTATAAACCTTAAAATTGCTTACCAAATACAAATAAATATCAGTTCTATACAAATCGTCATATCTTAACTGCTTTATTTATATTTTCTAAAATTTTTTTTATATTATAAATTCGTTGGCAATGCTTGCGAAACTTAATATAAAAACACAGAGAAACTTTTTTGCTTAAAGTTATATACTTTTATTGCTTCCATTCATGGAAGACTAACTCTCAAAAATATTTCAAATATTCATAAGCAAACATTAAATGCAAACCCGAAGTGTTTTAAGACCTACAACTGATTTAAATTTGACAATGAACCCATATTCCATCACTTAATTCTTGTATACCTAAATTGTTTTGTCGCTAGACTCCCTAAAGCGCCGCGAAATAAGAAATATATCGTAAAAAGAAATTCATTCTCACTTTTTTGTATTAAATTGAACGGTTTTATTTAGCATAGTTCGAATGAACCGATTTAGGTCAAATATGCGCCGTTTTGTTCGATTACTTGTTGCTAAGTCGACTTTCACAAGCTGCTCTTGAAGCGAATTTGTCACCAGCAAAACCATTCGCCATAGACAGGAACAGACAGCAATCACTTGGTGTCAGGTTCAAACAATAAGGTGGATGCATAAGAACCTATTAAACCAGCTCTCAGAGCTTCTGGGGAGTCACTATCAATGTGTGTTGCCTGGCGTTGTCCTGATGGAATAACATTTCTCCCCTCTTAGTCAAAACTGGCCGCTTCTCTGCGATTGCTTCCTTCAGATTGTTCAATTGTTGACAGTACAGGTACAAATTAACAGTTTGCCGGTAGCGAAGCAGCCAACCCCATCAAACACATACACATATGTAACAAAAACCTTCCAAATCAACAATCGTGGCTTTGCCAATGTTTGGACCAGCTTACCGCATTTTGAACACGATCGTTTTTGCATGACGTTCTCGTAAGTGAGCCACTAGTAACCACCGATTCAGAAATGATGTATTTTTGCTTTAACTCGAGTGTCATCCATATATCGAAGTTAATTTTGCATCCAGCCTTATTTAAATGATTTCAAACGATTTGCTGTACAAAGCTTAGCTCATGTTCTATCGAAACAGTGTTTTCATGATAGTCGGACTCGACGATTTCCGTTATTTTATCGATATTTTCGACATTTGGCCTTTCAAAGTGTGGTGCATCTTTAAGCTCAAAATTAACGGAACGGAAACGACGAAAGCAAAATTGCGTAGAATGACTCATAATCTTCAAAATTATTCACAATTTCAACCGACTGGTTTGTGTTTTCGCCTTCATCGAAGAAAAATTGTAAAATATGGTGTATTTTCGCTTTGTGTCCCGTTTTTGACGCCTGCTCAAAGAATACTGAGTCAAGCAATTACAAAACTGTTTCAGAATTTCTTTTAATACGAAATTTAATCTTTCTATACAACGCTGCGATACATTGTATAATTCAAGCCATCCGACCAATTGATGATCTCTGATTTGTTTGATTAGTTTTCGGCACGCATACCTGAATTGTCACCTATTTGTACAAATAAAACCTTAAGTTAATAAAGCATTCCTCAAAAATCATAACCTCTCTTTATTTATAACACAAATAACGCATAAATCGGAGTGTGGGTAGAAGAAGAATTGAACTATAATTTGCATTTTAGCAAACTTAATTGAGTTACACTATAATTTTCGTTAGCTTTGCTTTTTAAACCGACGCTTTTTGTTATAGAATAATGCGCGATTTCATGAACATGTTTAATTTCCATGCTGTAAATAAGCGCATAAGCATTAGCATACATACGCATACGCATACGCATAAACATAGCGCATAAGCCATTCAATGAAGCATTCATAACAGAGTTGCATTCCCGATTTCGCATTACGCATTATGCATACCGCAATCAACTGCATGAGCTGAATACATACATACATACCTGCATACATGTAAATATGTCTAACTAACGCGCTTTTCACACCCAACATACATACGTACATATGTAGTGCTAATATTTGGTATGTAGATATTCGTAATGTTTGTATGTATGTAATTCTCATTATGCTGCCAAATCACATTTGTGGGGGTAATCTGCTACATATGCACCACTACTACCAACCAAAACCACTGTCGGCGACGTGGTGAACTCGCTTTGCGCTCATATCTGCGTCTTTACAACGCAACGCCATTTATGCGCCTCTAACCGAATACCCAACTGTACTAACCGAACTAACCAATTTTCAATTTAAAAAAAAAAAAAAAAAAAAAAACCAAAATAACAATAATATAACTGTCTTACTAACACAACAACTACTAACAAAATGTATTTGAAAAACAAAAACAAAAAAATAAATAAATATGTCGTACATGTACTTGTGCTGTAATTATGTTGTAATCGTTAATCGTAAACATACCTACATATTTGACTTGAACGCATATTATGTAATAAAGTCAAAGATAGAAAGGATAATCGTTTGAATGCCAAGAAGAATAAACGTTTTGTTGTTGAAACTATTACCACTATGACCACAGTAACGGAGCGGCGCATTGTGCGTGAAGCCAGCGAGGACGTAACGGGTGCCACTGATCTCTTGCCACCAGCATTACCGGCCAAACCCGGTGCAATTGTGGCCGCTGCTACGGGTCAGCCAATGCCACCACAACAACAGCAGCAACAACAGCAACCACAACAGCCGTCAGCTGTGGGCGGTGAGGTGTTTGATGAGGAGAAACCGCCACCCATACCACCAAAAGAGTCGTCACCCACACAAATTAGCGGTATTCTGAAGGGCGGTAAATTGTGGAAGCAGGATTCAATGTCACAGGTAAGGATGCACAGTTTACGCTGGAATATTTCTAAACGTTATGTAATTGCCTTTCTAGTTTTTATTTAAAAAAGCGTAGCTTGGTTAATAATACATGAAGCTTTAATATTTAATTAGTGCAATACGAAATCCTGTTAGAATCGATATTAGTGAGGATAATACATATTCTCAAAACACTAAAAGCTTTTAATTCCCTGTTTTGGGTCTTTGCATAGATACTCCAAAAGTCGAGAAAACTCGAATGAACACCAAAGCTATAACTGCCAACTATTCAAAGTTGTTTCTTTTAAGGACGTCAGCAAGCGGAACAAAAGATATATACTAGAATTTTAATAAAAGCATAGCTGCAGTAAAACCTTTAAATCTGGTATGAAGTTGTGTATACACGACACTATCCAGCTTGGTTATTTTTACAGGAACTAATGACAAGAATAGGAGGAGTACTTCTTCTTTTTTATAAAAATTGACACCAAGTCAAAGAACCGCTTGTATTCAAGTTCTTTTCCACGCGGTCTTTCGTTATACATTGCCAACAAGGAAAAATCTATAAGACTTTCGCAAAATTTTTCTCTCGAATACTGTCGAAGGTAACAATATATTGGATAATCTGTCATTGTCTATAAGCTACATCATTACGATCAATATTATGAGAGTTCACACGACAGTCGGGACTTTTATCCGGACTTTTATCCGGCCAAGGGCTTTCAACTCGTCAGCATTCCAGATTCAAAAGGTGATATTGTTTTCG